TATTCCATTGGTCTATGTATCTGTCATTGAACCAATACCAGGCAGTTTTGACTACTGTGGCTGTATAGTAGGTTTTGAGATCCGGCAATGTGAGCATGTTCTTACTTTTTTATTTTCTAACTCCAGATCTTTGCACATTTCATTATAATTGACTTTTTCTTTTCAAGACACCCATTGTAATTATCTGTTCAGCTCTTTTATTTCATTATTTCTTCCACTTGCTTTATCCACTTCCATTCAAGAGCAAGTTTCAGAGTCTCTTCTGACATCCATTTTGGTCTTTTCTTCCTTTCCTGTCTTTTTAATGATCCTTTGCTTTCTTCATGTATGATGTTTTTGATGTCATCCCACATCTCATCTGGTCTTCCGTCATTAGTGTTTAATATGTCAAATCTATTCTTCAGATGATCTCTAAATTCAGGTAGGATATAATCAAGGTTGTATTTAGGCTCTTGTGGACTTGTTTTACTTTTTTTTAGCTTCAACTTGAACTTGCATATGAGCAGCTGATGGTCAGTTCCACAGTCAGCTCTTGGCCTTGACTGATGATATTGAACTTCCCTATTGCCTCTTTCTACAGATATAGTCAATATGATTTCTATGTATTCCATCTGGTGAGGTCCACTTGGATAATCACAGTTTATGTTGTTGAATAAAGGTATTTTCAGTGGATAAGTCATTGGTCTTGCAAAATTCTATCATGTGATCTCCAGTCTCATTTCTAACACCAAGGCTATATTTTCCAATTACTGATAATTCTTTGTTTTCAGCTTTTACATTCCAGTCATCAGTAGTTATCAGTACATCTTGATTGCACGTTTGGTCAATTTCAGACTGCAGGAGTTGGTAAAAATCTTCAATTTCTTCATCTTTGGCTTTAGTAGTTGGTGCATAAATTTGAATAATAGTCTTATTAACTGGTCTTCCTTGCAGACATATGGATATTATCCTATCACGGACAACATTGTACTTCAGTATAGATCTTGAGATTTTTTTTTGATGATGAATGCAATGCCATTCCTCTTCAATTTGTCATTCCCAGCATAGTTGGTCATATGATTGTCTGATTCAAAATTGCCAATACCAGTCCATTTCAGCACACTAATGCCTAAGATATCAATCTTTATTTGTTCCATGTCATTCGTAGTCAAAAGAAGACTGTTTTATTCAAATAAATGTTCAGTTAACAGTGAAAGATATTCAATCTGTAAAAAATCAAAGTTGCAGAAAACAAGATAGCATTAAATTGATAAAAAATTGTTAAAGTTCAACAAAATCATGTGTGGCAAAGGTGTGCATATTCTCAAACACTGCTGGCTAGAGCATATTGGTACAGCAACTTTGAAGAGCAATTTGGCAGTATGCAATAAAACTACTGTATGCATACCCTGGAATCTCTGGGTGATGCAAATGAACTCCCTTGTTGCTAACTGAAAGATCAGAGCTCAAGCCCACCCACAAGCACCTCACAAGAAAGGCCTGGGGATCTACTTCTGAAAAATCAGCGATTAAAACCTCTATGGAGCACAGGTCTACTCTGACACAACATGAGGTGCCATGAAGCAGAATTGACTCCATTATGGCCAACTGGTTTATACATACCCTACAATCAGAGGCATATCTAAGGTATGGCAGGTATGGCACATGCCCTAGGTGCCACCTGCAGGAAGGTGCCACTGAGTAGTTTCTGTTAACTATCACCGTTTCCATCCCCAGTTGTGAAAGATCATTTAGCAAGTTAAAACTAATACTTTTGTTTTTGAGAGCCTCCATGGGTCAAGGCAAACTGTGACATTGCTCTGCTGAGTATAGAAAGAGAAGAAACTGGGGGGAAAATGACTTTGAGTACATCATAGACCAATTTTCATTAGTGGAAATAAGGAAAGTGCGGTTGTAATTTTCATGTAGTGCCAGAATGTTTTAAGTAAAGGATTAACAAGCTTGACTTGTATTTTTGAAGTGATATCATGTTAAAGTTATCTAAAAGATGGGTGACAGATGTTTGAACAGGGGCACAATTTCAGTGCTTATCATAGGTGCTATTTTGCATAGATATGCCTCTGCCTACAGTGCTGCCTTTCCACCTCTAGAGAAATATTAGCATATATAGATGTTAATTTACTTATATTAAAAAATAAAAAAAATATTTGTCCATGGTTAGGTCAACCATAGCATATCTATGCAACAGAATGCTGGGCAAAAATAAAGTGATAGGTAGTATCTATGTATAATAACAAAGCTAAATCTTGAAGATATTGTCAAGGCTTTTTTAAAGTTGAAGACATATAAAATATACAAAAGAAAAAACCCCACAAAATTATGTATTTTCCACAAAGACATAAAGATTCATGTAAGTGCCAAAAGAGGACTGACTGGACGGGCAAACATCCAATCGATAGTAGTGTAAAGTTACCTTTTGGAAAAGATGGCAACAAAATTTCCTTCACCGTAATTGAGGAAAAAAAACAAAACACAGATAATGTATGTATTATTTGTGCATTTAGCGTAATATTTTAAATGATGAAAACAGAAGAGCAGAATGTATTGTTAAGATCAATTTTTAACATGCTGATCTGTGGTTGAGAATATTATCTGGCTTAGAGGTGTATGGCCTCTATGAGTCAGAATCCATGGCAACGAGTTTTTTTTGTTTGTTTTGATTTGGCGCACAAAGAGATGGTAGTCAAAACCCTAGAAGCAGATGGGTTTGCCTGGGGAAGACGGTGGTGGTCAGGTCAGATGAGGGGGCGGAGGAAGGGAAGAAGGGAGAAAAGTGGGAGGTGGATTAAGTGTTGTTCAAAGCCCAGTAGGGTATTTTCAAGTTTGCAGCATCTTAAGCAGCAGGACAGCAGAGTAAGGCAGCGACAGAAATGCTTTTGCATCCACATTCTCGAGACAGAAAGCTCAAAACAATCGAAACGTAAAGCGGGACGCCCTCGCAACGTTCTCTGAAGACTAGTGAGCGACCCCCACCACAACATCGCGCCAGGACGGGGGCGTTGGTGGTAGAGACACGCTTGCGCAAAGGGTTACGCAAGCCCACAGTGTTTGCGCAAGCGCACAACTGCACGCTCGAGCTGAAAACGCCTGGCGAGAATTTGAACAGCTTAAATCATGTCCGAAATGTCCCAGCTGTCCGAATTGTATGAGGAGAGCAATGATCTGCAGATGGATGTGATGCCTGGCGAGAGTGACCTTCCGCAGATGGAGGTAGGCAGCGGGAACCGGGAGCCATCCCCGAGCCTCTCCCGCGACGGGGCCCCGCCACAGCTCGAGGAGGAAGGCCCAATGGAGGAGGAGGAGGCCCAGCCAATGGCCGGGGCAGGGGGCCTTGCTAACGGGCCCAGCCGTGGGGAGCAGGCGGGCCAGATCGCGGCCCCAGACTTGGAGAGCGAGGACGAGGGCGAGGAGTTTGATGACTGGGAGGACGACTACGACTATCCGGAAGAGGAACAGCTCAGTGGTGCAGGCTACAGAGTATCAGCAGCCCTTGAAGAAGCCAACAAGATGTTTCTGAGAACATCCAGAGCAAGAGAAGCAGCTCTCGATGGCGGCTTTCAGATGCATTATGAGAAGACCCCTTTTGATCAGTTAGCTTTTATCGAAGAGCTTTTTTCACTCATGGTTGTCAATCGTCTGACCGAAGAACTCGGCTGTGATGAGATTATCGATAGAGAGTAGATAAATGCTGTTAAAAGAGGAGGAAACTACCTGAGGAAAGACCCAACATTCTGTTATTTTTGGGGTTCATTCGAAATAGTTCTGTGCCAGTGAAAAAAACTTGATCTTCAGAAAAACGAAATTGTATTTGTTTTGCAGAATAGAATAGGACAGTGACTGCACAGTTGTGAAAAAGGAAGAGAATCGTTAAGAAAGAAAAAGGATCTTTTAGGACTGTTGATACGTTTTCAGGAATGTTAGGAATGTTTTGAAACACCATGCCTTTGACTTTGTTATTGATCCAGATTATTTTCCTTGCATTGGGGAAAATATCTTTCATATCAGCTTCATCGTAAGGGATGGTTTTGCAAGAAACAAGGCATGACCAAGACAAACTGCTAATAAAAGAGCCCACTGGTACTATATGATGAGAAAAAATAACCAAAATGTCCATCCTAGGACACAGTATGTCTTTGAATTATTTGGACTGGAAGTCTATTGAGAAAACTTCGAAAATTATGATTTTGGGATCTAGTCTAGTCATAGTTATCAAAGGCTAAATTATTAATGCAATGTAAATTGAGTTTTCTTCAGTATCTCACAAGGATGAGCAAATCCAGAAGGAAGTATATCTCACATGTGCTGTATCTTTGTTTCCAAAAGGATCTTAAATTTTGTTTGTACACATATCTTGATCATTTATAAAACTATGATCTATAATTCAAGAAAATCATGTTGCGACCATTTGAAAAATAAAAAATTAAGACCTCAATGAAAAATTTTAGACATTAATAATGTTATGTGAGAGTACAAAGAAAACAAGTTCTGATCCTTATACACTAGGGAGAATTTCTGTTTTGCTCGTTCTTCACTTAATTTGACAGGTGAAAGACTTTGGTTGAACTTCATATTATAAGAACTGTTTGTGAAAGCTGTCATGTAAAAGGAAAGTTGTACACCTAAAAAAAGAATGAACAATTATACTATCATCCCTTTAAAACTGCCCAGAAATCCACCTCATTGTCTTATGTTTCCCTCTCTCCTCCTCTAATTAAGCTTGTTCTTTGTTAGGTACCAGCGTTGGAGATAATAAAATATCTTGTTCTGTGTACTTGTTTGGCTAATAGTATTGCACACATAGTTTATATACTACTTTTTAGTGTATGAATTATTGTAGTCACTTAATGATTTTAATTTAACCAGTATTTACATAAGGGAAAATGATCCTGCTTCAAATAACTCATTTACAAATTAACTTGTTGAAATCAAACTTAACAAATTTAGCATTGCCAACCTTTGAAAACTTGCCCTATCGATGAGCATATTGTTGTGGTTACTGAGAGTTGGAGTTCTATGAGAAAAAAACAACACTGCATCCAGTAAAAATTAAATACAAGGGCAGGTTTCATCATGATCAAAAGAAAGATGTTCCTGTTCCATGATGGCAATAGAGAACACATCCAGTATAACAGGGCAACTCAGCCTTATTTATATTACAGTCATCCTGTTCTTTGGGAAGGGGGTTCCTTTTTTATAAAATACAAGACTGGCCGTTTAAGTAAGGATGCTCATAATCACTCAAACACTAGCCTGGTATGGGGAGGGGATAGACGAAATCAAATGTTAGCATTTAAACATCTTAGTCTTACAGCCTCTCCTGTGCCTCACCTCTTCCATAGCTTTCTCAAATAGCCTATAAAAAAACAAAAACCAAACTCACTGCCGAGTTGGATCTGACTCATAGCAACCCCTCCTTGGATTTCTGAGGTAGTGTCACTACGGAAATAGATTGCCCAACCGTCCTTCCAAGGAGTGGCTGGTGGGTTTGAACCGCCAGCCTTCTGGTTAGCAGTCAAGTGCCTTACGCACTAATGAAGTAGGATTGCCCAACCTTCCTTCCGAGGAGTGGCTGGTGGATTTGAACCGCCAGACTTCTGGTTAGCAGTCAAGTGCCTTAGGCACTATGCTACCAGAGCTCCCCATAGTGAATTAGGTTCCCATTTAATGCTGGTTTAGTGTGTTTAGCCTATAGCTGCAGTTAAATGCATGTGTAGATAGATAATTAATTGGACAATGTGAAGTAAACAGTACTCTGCAAAGGAAAAAAAGAAAAAGTAGATAATAAACTGGCCAGTTGCATTTACCTCCAATAAAGAAAGGTTTAGGAAAATAGGCTCAGGGAGAAAAAACTGGGAGTGTCTGAATCTGTTTTTCAGACTGAGCAGGGAACAATAGGAGGGGGAATAGCCATATTTCCTGAGGGGTTTGAGGACATCTTAAGGAGAAAAACCTTTGCTCCGTAACTGGTTGGTTGGTGTCAAAAATAGGAAGTACCCTGAAAGACCACTGAGATTAATAATTGTTAATATTAACATGGAAAATGATAACATTTTAACACTCCTTTTAAGGGCTTAAGATCACATTTCTTTTAAATGCTACCACAGACTGGAATCGGACTCCTTGGTTCAAATCTGCGTCCTACTACCTACTAGGTCTGTAGCTGGTTATTTAATCTTTCTATCTTAGTGTCCTTCAAAAGAAAATGGGAGAAATAACTTCATGTATCTTATTAATTGCCCTTTTAATGGGAATTTTAAAAAGTGTTCTAAGGAAATCCTGATCCTGTGATGGGAGAAGAAACTCAAAGAAGCTTATGAGTGCATGGTATGATATAAGGAGGGCTTTCTGCATCTATTCATAACTTATTGCCTTCGAGTTGATTCCAACTCATAGTGACGTTATAGGACAGTAGAACTGCCCCATAGAGTTTTCAAGGCTGTAATCTTTACAGAGTAGACTGCCACATCTTTGTCCCACAGAGTGGCTGATGGGTTTGAACCAGTAACCTTTTAGTTAACAGACAAGCACTTAACCACTGCGCCACTAGGACCCCTTGGATCTATTATAAATGTTTTCTTAGATCAAATGTCCCACATTGGCTGCCCTCAGGCCATAGATGTCCCACCTATCTATCTTGTATGGCTCACACTTAGACTTTTCATTTCTTAATTATAAACCAAAATCTTTTAATTCAGAGATTTGTTGTCATTGTCAGGTGCCATCCAGTCAGTTCTGACTCACAGCAACCCTATGTCCAGCAGAACAAAACACTGCCTGGTCCTGTGCCATCCTCACAATCACTGCTAAACTTGAACCCACTGCTGCAGCCACTGTGTCAATCCATCTCGATAAGGGTCTTCCTCTTTATTGCTGACCCTCTACGCAGCATGATAATCCTTCTCCAGGGATTGATACCTCCTGGCAACATGACCAAAGTAGGTGAGACAAATTCTCACCATCCTCACTTCTAAGCAGCATTCCAGCTGTATTAATTCCAAGACATACTTCTTTGTTCTTCTGGCAGTTCATGGTACATTCAACATTATTCACCAACACCATAATTCAAAGGCAACAATTCTTCTTCAGTCTTCTTTATTTATTGTCCAACTTTCGCATGCGTATGAGATGACTGAAAATACCATGGTTTGGGTCAGGCACACCTTAGTCTTCAAAGTGACATCTTTGCTTTTTAACAATTTAAAGAGGTCTTTTACAGATTTTCCCAATGCAGTGTATCATTTGATTTCTTGACTTCTGTTTCCATAGGTGTTGATTGTGGATCGAAGTACAATGAAATCCTTAAAAACTTCAATCTTTTCTTAGTTTTTCATGATGTTGCTTATCGGTTCAGTTGTGAGGATTTTTGTTCTCTTTATGTTGATGTGTAATCCATACTGAAGGCTGTAGTCTTTGATTTTTATCAGTAAGTTTTTCAAATCATCTTCACTTTAAGGAATCAAGGTTGTGTCATCTGCATATTGCAAGCTGTTATTGAGTCCTCCTCCAATCTTGATGTTGCATTTTCTTTCATATAGTCCAGCTTCTCTGATTATTTGTGCAGCATACAGGTTGAGTAAGTATGGTGAAAGGAACAACCCTGAAGCACATCTCTGATTTTAAACCATGCAGTGTCCCCTTGTTCTATTAGAACAACTACCTCATGGCCTATGTACAGATTCCTCATGAGCATAATTAAGTATTCTTCGCAATGTTATTCATAATTTGTTATGATCCACACAGTCAGATGCTTCTGCAGAGTCAACAAAACACAGATAAACATGTTTCTCATATTCTCTGCTTTCAGCCAAGGTCCATTTGACATCAGCAATGATAACACTCATTCCATGTCCTTTTCTGAATCTAGCTTGAATTTATGGCAGTTCTCTCTTGATGTACTGCTTCAAATGTATTGAATTATTTTCAGCAAAATTTTATCTGTGTGTGAAATTAGTGATAATGTTCAGTAACTTCCACATTCTGTTTTATCACCTTTCTTTGGAATGGGCACAAACATAGATCTCTTCCAGTTGACTGGCCAGGTAGCTATCTTCCAAGTTTCTTGGCATAAACATGAGCACTTCCAGTGTTGCATACATTTGTTGAAATATCTCAGTTAGTAGTCCATCAATTCCTGGAGCCTTGTTTTTGCCAGTGCCTGCAGTGCAGCTTGGACTTCTTCCTTCAATACCATCAGTTCTTGATTATATGCTATCTCCTGGAATGGTTGAACATCGAGCAATTCTTTTTGGTACAGTGACTCTACATACTCCTTCCATCTTTTTTTTTTTTTTTTTCTTCCATCTTTTTTTGATGCTTCCTGCACCATTCAAAGTTTTGCCCATAGAATCCTTCAATGTTGCAACTTGAGGCTTGGATTTTTCTTCAGTTCTTTCAGCTTGAGAAATGCCAATCATGTTCTTCCCTTTTGATTTTCTAACTCCAGGTCTTTACACATTTCATTATAATACTTTGTGTTCTTGAGCTGCCCTTTGAAATCTTCTGTTCAGCTCTTTTATTTCATCATTTCTTCCATTTGCTTTAGCGAGTCTCCATTCAAGAGCAAATTTCAGAGTTTCTTCTGACATCCATGTTGTCTTTCTTATCTTTTCAATGACCTTTTGTTTTCTTCATATATGATGACCTTGATGTCTTCCCACAACTTGTCTGGTCTTCAGTCATTAGTTTTCAATGCATCAAATTTATTGTTCAGTTGATCTCTAAATTCAGGTGTGATATACTCAAAATTGTATTTTGGCTCTCATGGACTTGTTTTAATTTTCTTCAGCTTCAACTTCAACATGCATTTGGGCAGTTGATGGAATGTCTTTTCCAAGTCAGCCCCTCACTT